AGCTTTAGCAAGTAATGGAAATAATCTATATTGGAGGATATGTATTCTATCAACACTCTACCAATTGTTTCTCTCCACGTGCCACGTGTCACGTGTCATCTCTTTCCTCCTCACAAGAGAGTTCGGACGAAATTTGTGAGGAAACTTCTACATTTGAACATGAACAATGTTTCGTGAGCTTTTTATCTTTAAAATTTTGAGCACTTGTAAACAAAAAGATAAGAGAATACAGGAATGTCAGAAAAACGAAATTGAGGAAAATAACGTGATTATTCTATATAGGCCTCCAAAGGAAGACAACAATCTGTTGCAGTGACTAAACCTAAGATTAAGCTCTGAGAAGTATGGAAAAAAAGAAGAACCAAGATTTACAATGTGATGAGTTTTAAAGAATGAAGCTAATCATAACACTTCCGTAACATGCTGACAAAAACAAAAAGAATTTGAAATTGAACCTAAGTTGCCGGAATTTGTTTTCCGTATCAAGCGTGAATATTGCACTGTTGCAAGTGGGAGTGATAGTAAGGGACATGTATGTTCCAGTAACGTTTGTATTTCTCTATCCCAATGTCCAACCACGGCTTCATGATCCCATCGTAGTGTATAACCGCGGCTTGTTCAATGTCAACCATTTTGACTACTGATTCGCGACCTAACCCCATTACATGCCATCTCTTGTCCAACGGTAATGTTTGCCTATAGAAAGTCAACCAACCTATCGGTAAACTTCCAGCTTTCCACAACGGTCTCTTCGTTCCCTGCCAAAAAAAAATTCCCCAATACGGTTGTATAAGGTTTAGGTTCATTACACACATATATAACATGTGTCTTCTTCTAGGAAACCATCTTAGTACTAGACTTCGTTTGCTAGTTAATTCTTAGTTCTGAATGTTGTCTAAGTTCCAAATTCAATACCTTTCACCCCCGAGATAGCCAAAACTAAAACCCAATAGTCATTATTGTGACCTATTTCAGATAGAATGATGCATAAACGAATCGAAGAACCCACTTGATAAACCATGAAGAGGCATTCAATGCAGATATATGACTACAGTGTTAGTTACTAAAAGGGGAGTAGTAAGTGCAGTAGAGACTGTGTATTGCGTACCAAGTTGAAGTATCTTATGTATGTAGAAGTCAACTTCTGTCTTCTCCATTCTTCAAGATCAACTAGATTCATCCCGAATCCCCACGTGCAAGCTTTAGGATTGAATTTTCCAGCGACCCATGCGTCTGAGAAATCAATAAATCTGCTCATTGAATGGAATGAAGGTTCACCTTCACGACAAGTCTCTACAGCTCCAATCACCTTCCCTTTCATATCAATGCTCCACAGTCTACTTAAATCACGTTGAACTACTACATCATGGTCAAAGAGCACCATCTTGTTCAAACCCGGGAATATATCTGGGAGATAGAAGCGTGCATGATTGAGTGTGGAAATGAATCTTGGGTCATTAGAGTTTTGCTTCATCAGCACCTGATCATAATCTGAGGGCAGGACATCCATATCATCAATGTTTTGGATTTGGATTGTAGCTCTGGTTTGAATGTTTAGCAAAAACCACACTGAGATTGCCGGGTAATTAAGTGAATCAGTCACGATGTGTAATACTACTTTTTCCGGTTCCTGCAAACAGCAATCAGAACTCATATTAAAAATGGCTGAAGTGAATGAATGAGGCGTAATAGAGCAAATTGTTTATAATAAAAAGGGGACAAAACGATAGCACAATATTGTCAAAATAAAACAGAAGAAATGTGAATATTAACCTTTGAAGAAGATATCGTAGAGTTAACAACGACTGCAGACGCCAAAACATTGTCAGAGAATACAACATAATGATAGAGATTAGGATCATTATAATTTTGCTGGTTAGGCATCTGCCTTTTTTCAGGATCCAGGGCAAAGTATTCTGATGTCAACCGCATTGAGAGACAGTGAAGCCCTTTTGGGGTGGTCCTTGCAGCAAGGTGCATTAGATATGTTGCTTGTTTTTTCTGCGCCTGAACTTGTTCTTCTGAGTTATAGTTCATGGCACGAAGTTTGGTAGCAATAGCAGGGCAATTGTTAAAGACACGACTCGCCTTGTATAATGCAGCTTCCATCGGCTTCACCCTGCGAAGAGCACTGAAAGAAACAGCCATACCAGAGGTTACCATATGAATCTTCTTAAACACCACGATTTTTTTGTCACTAAAAGGTTGTAGTTGTAACAGCAAGTTTCTAGGTGCAATTAAGGTATCTTCTCCTTATAATCAAGCAGTTGTGCTTACCCCTTTGACAAATCTTTATCTTTTGTCGCATCACCAACAGCCCGTTCCAGCTCTCTTGTTCGAGCTCTCAACTCCTTCACAATCTGAGAGTTACTTCCTGGTGGGGCAAAAGTCAGGTAGGTTTTAGCTTGTATAATTTTGTCTCTGATCTCCTTTATCTTCACATCTGTTGCTCTAACAGGTTGAACCTTTGTAATCTTTTCAGCCTTCGAGAAAGGGGGTTTGAAATCCGTTTTATTAGCAAGTTGGTTAACTGTTAGAAATTGATCCTGACACAAAACAAAACAATAAATCGTTATGTTGACAAGTTTGATCTTAATAGGTTGATGGAAAGCCTAACATGGCGTTTCTATTCACTAGATCAACTAAGCACCATGGAGCGTAATGTCTTGTAATCTAATTATAGGATTTTATTAACAAAATTGTTCTTAGCCTGCGCACTCACCAAGTTCATGTTACTTCACGTCAGTTGGATAATTCAAGTTCGAGTAATCTATAAATCAGTTGGAATAAAATACACACCTTTGCATCAGCGCTTAATGTCGTTTTCTGTGAAACTATTACTTGTTCTTCCCTACTTTTGTGCTTATTTCCTGAAACCCATGATTACTACAGATAAGAAGCTGAAGAACCAACGCCAGCAGAGCAAAACAAAGCAAGACTGAAAATATGATCGCACCACCAATTCCGAGGAAATCAATTGTTTTGTCTTTCTCATTAGCCTGGGTAACACCATCAGTTTCATCAGATGAGTTAAAGTCCCCATCCTTGAAGAGAATGAGCCTTGGCCCCTTCAAGCCTTCTCCATCCTCCTGGAAAAACAAAGTGAAACAATTTTAACTAAACGAATGGTCAAAAGGGTTTAAGGAGATGACTTTGAAGAACCGCTAACTACTTACATGTTCAATAGCGCTAAGTCTAAGGTCATTTGTCCTGAATCTCTGCACAATAAATGGTACTATTGTTCAAGAAATATAAAGCATGGCTAAGATCTGAAAACTTGGCACAATCAAACAGCATCGATGAAGAATATCTCATCGGATTAAAGAATTTCAAAGCAGTAAAAGAGGCTAAACATGTTGATTTCACTATATCTATATCAGAATAGATGAACCCAGAGATTGAAGACCAGGAAACGAACACTTACAATGTTGGATAGCTCTTCAATAAATTCTCTCCGACCTGTAATCCGCAATGGAAATAAAAAAAAACTACTCAGATGAAGAAAAAAAAGCAGGCCAATGGCGATTTTTCATAAGATTAAATCAAAGATCAAATTCATCAATCATTTCTACACGATCGTCCAGTACAATGTAGACATATCCGCAGGAGAGGAAAAAGGAATCGGAAGACTAAGAAGGAGAGAAAGCTGACCAATGGGAGTGATGCTTTGAAGCCGATTCGAGACGAAAATAAGCGGAGCGAACACAGATATCGATAGCAAGGAGAGGATCAGAATCCTCTGCCATCGACGAATTTGCTTCATGAATATACGAAACACGAATCAATCAAAATCTCCCTTCCTCGAGAACTATCCGTATCTCATCAAACCCTAAATCGTTCTCCAGGAAGAAGCAGTACTTCCACAACAAATCTCGGAGATTTCCTGCTTGATCAACAAGCAAAATGACGAAACGCTGAAAAGACTTAGGGATCCTTCTGGGGATTGCTTTCCTCGAATGGAAGATTCTATTCTTCGCTTTGATTTCTGGGTTTGGGGTCGGCGAGAAGTTAGATTCAGAGCTTCCTCATGCATCATCATTGGAGAGGGATTCTGCTCTTATATATTCTTTTTTAATAATATATAAATAAATCATTGTTTAATGATTTTTTTATTTATACAGTATTAGGTTAGTGAGAATTTGTATTTTATATAATTTTTGGATGTTCGTGTTGAGATGTCAAATGTTCGTGTGAAGGTGCGGATCAGGTGCGGGCAGGTGTACATGTGAAGACATGTGATTATGCCGTTGATAAAGCTGAAAGTAATTAATGTGATCAT